ACTATTAAGAAGTCCAAGCCCTAAAACGATTCACAGTAGGATTCAGTGCCATGCAACCTATTGTAAAATTAACATTCTCTAAGTACAAAGGAATTAGTAGAGTGGGCAACACCTTCCATTTGCCAGTTCTCCACTACACAGTGGATATCTCTGCTGGGGTTCCCTTTGCAAAGCTGGAAGCTGTCTGAGTTTCAGGACAATTCATCCCACTTACTTGGCCATGTATTTTAAGAAGGGATGAATCACCTTCTGGAAGTGTTTCTTTCACTACATTGATGCCAGAGGGAACTCAGATGAGTAGCACAGATGACATGCCTGTCTTCCAGACAGCTAATTCAAAGAAGATGAATCCCATTCAGAGTAATAGTTTCACTTCACTGACATACATTCCTGCCTGATATGGCAGGAATTTAAAAATTAATGGAAGCACAACACCTTAGGTTCAGATAGTGATTGGCATGGATCTAAAAAATTTCCCCACCTGGAAGAAAACAACTTAATTTCAAAACCTTTTCAGTACACTAAATAAATCTTATGAAATAAGTGGGTATTGCCGTGATAGATTAAGAAAAAAATTATGACAAGTACTTAGCAATGACTTGTCCTTGTTCATACTACAAAGCAAATCGAGAGATATAAAATTTAGCTTTCCTCTCATGTATATTCTTTATCTGAAAAACAATTTAAACTCTCCCAACGTCTTCAGAAGATCAAAACCAAGCAGAATTAGGTAGAAAGAACGGGAGATGACTTAGTGGAAGAAGGGAATGCTAGGTTACCTTTAGCAGGAAATTTGAAGGGCTCCTGAGTTAGATCAGGACAGTCTACAACAGAGACTTGAGCATCGGCAAAGTTCTCTTTAAGCCCTTTCTGCAAAACTGTAATAGAGAATAATGGCAAAGTTATTGACGATGAAGAATTACCAAGAGTTTGTTTGATAAGTTTCTAACAACTATAAATATGTCTGTTTAGATTTATTTCAGCAAGATACATTACTTCTGTTTACCCTAAGTAACTTCATTGATTTAATTGTCTGTAGGCACTTGTTTCATGCATCAGAGCTTCGGAGAAGAGCAAAAGTTTGTTCAGATAATTGTTGTCTGCCACATCAATTAATTTAAAGTATTTTAAAAACATTTTCATTGAAATATAATAACTGAATGCTCCTAGTAGCACTAGGAGCAACACAGTGTGAAGTAACATGGGTAAACTTAAATCACATTCAGCAGTGGGTTTGTTTCAAAGAGCAGACAATTATGATCACAGTCAAATATGATGCAAGAGCAAAGGAGGAAGCAAGTTTTAGATGAAATGACAATCAGTTCTTCAAATACATTAATCAGACTGTTTGCAATAGCTTGATTTTAAGCTCAAACCATCTCTGCTGTCTGGAAATTTCTGCTGCCACAGCATACTGCCTATCGTGTTTATGCTCTTGTGGAGATTTTCTGGCAAGTGCCACTGTCAGTACAAGACAGATAATGAATGGTGCTGGTGATATTGAACCAAATCTGAAATTTTGGTTTTGCTTCATATCAATGGTTTTTAGGCTCAGAACCTGCAAAGTCACTCAAACAATAGGGAGGATTAGGTGAGTGCACTGTTTGGAAACAACTTCCAAACCTAAATTGAGTGTGGGATTCTCTTCACATACACTGCTTCAAATATTATGTCAAAAGGTCTAGGTTCTTTCATGCCTGGGGATCTGCTTTGACAGATTTCTCAAACTAAAGAACACAAGATCAAGTCTGTTCTCAAATCACGCAGTTCCTTATTTGCTCAGAAGACTTTCCTGAGCCTTTGTTTCCTCCAATTAGGATTTCAGCCATACCTTACTTCTGAAGAGCAGATTTACAAAGCTGTTGACCAAAAGGGTCAGTAGAAGTACCTGGCACATTTCTAAATACATCTCAGTACCTTCTGGTAGGTAGACAAGGACAATAAACGGGCACTCCTCAAATTATACCCAACAGCTGAACAGCAACAAAATTCACAGCTTAGAGGAGGTCCTCAGGGGGGAAAAATGGAAAATTTTGCTTTATGATGAAATTTTTCTGCTACTCTTTTGAGCTGTTCTACTGCAAGTACATGGTGTTTTCTACAGAGCTCACAGGTCTACAGCAGCTGTGTCCTACTGCCCTAGTCTGACTGAGTGAGAAAAAGTGAGAACCACCCAGGATAATCCTGAGATCACACTTTCTGAATGTATGAAAACGTCAAACTGACACAGATTTGGGGAAGTGGCAAACTGAACTTGAGGGTCAATCTGAAAGATAAAAACCTTTAGTAGACCTGCTGCAGGGGAGAGACTACCTTTCTACTAGTGCAAGGAAAGAAGCTCATGAGCAACTGGGTTGGACCCTTCCAACTTCAACCATTCTGTTACTCAGAGCACATTTTGGGAAGGCTTTGGAAAGAAAGAGTACATTATAAGTTTGTAAAAAAGTACACACTGCATAACTTACCCCCAGCAAGCTCCTCCAGACTTGGAACGTGAAAAGCAAACCTTTCGACTTTGGCCATTTCTTAACTGGTGCTGATTTCTTGAGGTAAGAAATTACAGTACAGCACACTGTAGGAGCAACTGATCTGCCAACAAGGATAATAGTTTAACAATTAAAACAGTCTCCTTTCAACAGAGGAATTATTTTTCAATTTCACTCAAGAATGCAAAGACAACAGCAGAACTGTAGTTCTGCCATCAGGAAAGACTAATGGCTTCAATAGTAACATTAAAGTTTTTATAGATTTTGAAAGACATGTCTGTCAGATCTATAGCTGGCTCAGAACATTACACATGCTAGTCCCCAAGCTTGCAATTGGGTGTAGGCGACACATCCTATGCTGAATTCAGTTCAAGAGACAGGTTAGGAGATCTGTGTGTCCTTTGTAAGCCTGGAATCACAATTTGGTTTTGAAAGAAAACTGGGCTTTTCTGACACATTAGCTGCCTCCTCAGGCCTTCCCAACCTTAATATTTACTTTGCCAGCGTTGGCTGCAGTGGACTTTCAACCCCAGCTATGATATGGTCTCCAATTGATTCTGGGCATGTGTTTTCCCTTCCAGGGGGAAAAGACAAGAATCAAAACAGAAAACAACAGCAACAAGTTCTGTGGTATGAGCCTCTGTATGGGTACTGAGCTTGTAACAAAAAGTTTTGTTTGAACATAAGTTTAAGAATGCTTTCACAAATGAACTGTACTTCAGTCAGCCTTGCAACAGCAAAGTGAGTAACTAGGGCAAACCACCAGCTGAGGGCAGAAACAGCTAATTGTACACTACCTAAAAATCAGCTATAGCAATTATTAACTCCTTAGGCACATGCTTGTTGTGCACAGCAAAAAAAACCCCAAAACAACAAAATGAATTCCACTTATCCAAATGTCAGGTATTGGAGGAAAATACCAAAATCCTAACTACATTCCCAGACATGGCAGAACCAAAGTAACAAAGAATAAAGGCTGGATTTGGTGTCTCTGGTAAAAGCCTACCCTCAGATGGAGCGAATCACACCCCAAGGCTTTTAGTGTGCACCAAGAAAGGGAGTAATTAGCCAGAGAAAGAAAGTGACAAGATGGCTTTGGCAGCATTGTTTTAGATGATCCTCATCCCCTCAGGAACCTCTTGCCACATCCAGAAGGAGGCTGTGCCAGCACTCAACACACTGGTTGCCCTGAGACTGAGAAGACAACCTAGAACTGTTGTTGTGCAAAAGGCAGAGGCAAGACTTGGACACAATTCAAATAAATAGGCTCGGATATAACACTTAGACCATCACCTGCTGTGTAATGGACAGTAGTGAGCTCCCTGCAATCAAGAAAGGAAGGAAAGACTGTGAAAAAGCTCAATGTACCGTAGTCAAACCCGATCTGATTGCTAGAAAGTAGTCCTTACCACGAAAGACACAAAAGGCTAGATCCGTGACCCAGCACTGCAAGAATTCACAGGGGAGTGAATTGTGTGGTGTGGGACGGGGTGAACCTGAAAGGAGACAACAGCAGACAATTAAGATCCATCACAGAGGGGTGCACTGTTATTGAATTGCTACAGAAGACTTTCAAAGAAAGTGCAACAAGAACGGAGAGAACAAGCATGTAAAGACTGAAAGTTTACCTTTGAAGCAGGAAGAAAGCATCAGAGGAAGTAGTTAAGTGTCTGGAGACTGCAGATGGAATGTGAACCATTATATTAATGATGTGGGGGGTCTGTCATTAAAACCTGAATTAAAAGTAGTTTGGAAGGTTGAAGTCAAAAGGGAGAGGTTATAGGCAGGCTAGAGAAGAGTCAGGGAGGGGGACTGGTGGGGGCAGAAAGAGAAAAAATTGAAGATGGCAGTCAGTGAGAGAGGAGAAATTCAGCATGACACCAAGAGGAGCAAAATATCTATAGATGCAGAGGCCGTATTGCTCGGCTGGAGCGATGCGAGGAGACCCCGTACGGGACAGAGGAAGGCTGCGGGACAGCAGAGGGCTGCTTGAGCGGCTGGGATTTGGGGAAGGGACGGGACACGGCGGGACAGGAACAGGCGTGGAAGGCGAGGCTGGGGTCCTTAGGGAGAGAGAGCATCCCGGCAGGCAGAGGCAGCTCGGAGCTCTGGAGCGAGGAAGCACTAAAGCTGGCAGCAGGCTTGGCACGGTTGCGAGAGGAAGTAAAGGGTTGCTCAGGCTGGGGCCGCCAGCTCAGAGAGAAACCGGACAGAAGTAACGACAGCCTCTCACCGAGCGGGAAGCCGGGACGTCCCGGGCGAGCCGGGTGGAAGGACCCGGGAACTGCCCGATCCCTACTCCGCAGACACAGCACGTACCTGCCCCACCGTCCGGGCTCGGCTGGCTCGGCTAGCACGCCCCACCCCGGTCCGGGGACCGCCCACCCTGCTGCCACCCCCGGCATCCCTCCCTTCGCCCCTCCTTCGCTTCCCGCCCCTCCTTCGCTTCCCGCCCCTCCTCCCTCCCGTCGGCCCGCGCGCCTCTCGCGAGCTCCCGGCGCTATTTAAGCCGCGGGGCGGCCATTTTGCGCCCTTTGCGGTGGGGCAGCGGCGGAGCGGGAGGTGCGTTGTGCAGCGATGCATCCGCCGCCATCCGCGGTGCCGGGACCCGGGCACCCGGGGAACCGGGGGCGAGGTCACAGTCCCGGCGGTGTTCAGCCGTCCTCCGAGAACTGGGGCGTGTGGCGGCAGTGTGCGAGGGGCTGCGGGGTGTCCTCGGCCGTGGCGACCTGGTGGGGGCCCGCATTCAAAATGCCTTCCCGCAGCCCCGACCCTGGCGCGATGCCGGCGGCCGAGCCTGGCGAGGGGCCGAGCGGTGTGCCTGGCGCCTTTCAGCCTGAGGTTCTTCTGGGAGGAGATACTGTGACTCTGTGAAACAGTCAGTAAGTTTAGATGTTGGTTGTTTTTCTCCCTAGGGGCTCTGCGTGCTCTGCCACCTGTCCACGACGGAGCTGCAGGAGAGGCCGCAAAGGATGCTGAGCTGCGATCTGTGAGTACCAGCCACAACCTGTGTGGTCAGAGTGACATTTCTACCTGTGTCCTGGCTCTGGTATTGGGCTGATCTGTCTCTGTGTTGTGTTTGTCAGGCCTATTAGCAGTATGCCCTCATAAGGCATAGTGTGGCTGGGGCATAGGTGCAGGTTGCTGTCCATAATTACCTTTCATAGCATTAAAGAGTCGTTTAGGTTTGAAAAGATGTTTAAAATCATCTAGGCATTAATCTAGTATTGACGAGTCCAGGACAAAACCTTAGTTTCAAAGCACTGGATTTACACGTGTATGTTTACACCATTCCACTTCGGGGATGGTGACTCAACCACTTCCCCGGGTGGCCTGTTCCAGTGATATAAACCTCTCCAGTGCAACCTGATGCCATTTTCTCTTGTCCTGTCATTTGTAACTACTTAAGAGACCAACCCCCACCTGGCTGCAGCCTCCGTTCAGGCAGTTGTAGAGTGAGAAGGTCCCCCCGAGCCTTCTTTTCTCCAGGCTAACATCTCCAGCTCCTTCAGCTGCTCCTCATAAGACTTGTGCTTCAGATCCTTCAGCTCTGTTGCCCTTCTCTGGACACATACCAGCATCTTAGTGTCTGTCTTGCAGTGAGGGGCACAGAACTGGACAGGGGATTCAAGGTGCAGCTTCACCAGTGCCAAATACCGTGAGACAATCGCTGCCCCGGTCCTGCTGGCTATGCTGTTGCTGATTCAGGCCAGGATGCCATTGGCCACCTGGGCACACTGCTGGCTCACGTTCAGCTGCTGTTGACAGCGCCCCCAGGTCCTTTTCTGTGGGGCAGTTTTCCAGCACTTCCTGGGGTGGTTGTGACCCAAAATAAGGACCTAGCACTTAGCCTTGTTGAACCTCATACAGTTGGCCTCAGCCCATAGATGGCAGCCTGTCTAGATCCTTTGGAAATCCTTCCTGCCCAACTTGGTGTCATCTGCAAACTGACTGAGGGTGCACTTGATCCCCAGTCTTGAGCCTTGGGAAACTCCACTGGTGACCAAAAGAGCTGTAAAAATTCTTTCTGACCTAAATGCTATGAATATCCTGAAATAAGTGGCTGTGATTTAACTATTACTCTTTAATCTATTTGCTCCTGGTTCATAGGAAAATCTATGTTGAAGTTTGCTCAGCATTGATCTTTTAAGTTTACCCTGTGAGACTAGAGTAGTGGAAAGCTTGTTACCTCATTAACATATAATTTTCTTCACTTTCTTTAACTCTCATTGATTCTTAGGGCAAATTGAGACATGACTGATCGAGATGAGCCTCAGGCTTCTGGCTCTGATTACCATGGTGCCCAAGATCTGATACATGGTCATGAGGAGCCATCCAAGGAGTATGCATGGCAGACAAATACAAGAAAGGAGTGTTCACAGTCAAGGCAGAAGAATGCTGCTCCTGGGGAGTTTTCGAATCATCTTAACAGTATATGTGAATCATCAGCTGCTTCAGCTGAGGTTTTACTTATCAGCAGCGATTCAGAAATGTGAGTTTTTACCTCTAGTTTAGAATTTTTTACTGTGAAGAACCTGTCTCAGATATCATAGAAGTAATCATTCTTTTGAAAGTTAAATACTCTTTTCTTCTTCAGTGATGTCTCTGTTGCTCGTGGCAGTGAGTGCCGTCCTGAGTGCTCCATTGCACCTTCAAAGCAAAAAAGGAGGTGTCAATCTTCAAGGCAACAAGCTGAATCTGTTGCAGAAGTGCCTGACAATGAAAGCTCGTCAGATTCTTCTCTGTCTCCCCAAAGTCCAATGAAATCATCATCATCGGAAGTTTCCAAGCAGCAGAAGTCAAAACTCAATTTGAAAGCCATTTTTGCCTATCACTTCAGGGGAAAGAAGTTTAAAGCTGCCGCACACCGAAAATACAAAGCTGGCTCAGGGAAGAAAAGGAAGAAAAAGAAAAAATGTGAGGGCACAAGGATGCCCACAGGGAGGCCACCACTGACAGCCTCACCTCAGGAGCAAAAGAGGAGGCTGCTGGACAGAGGTTTTCAGTTCCCTTTTGTGGAAAAACATTATGGGGAGAAACATATTCCCTTAAAGATGGTTCTTGGCTATGAGGTAAGTCTTCTGATTTAAGAGATAAGTATTACTATTTTAGTAAGTTGGCTGTGTTGTGCTTCTACCTGATGTGCTTGAATAGAACAATTAAAAAACCAGATTTTATTTCTATTAAACAGGACATCTGATGTTGTCTAATACCCTTTAAGGCAAACAGAGAAAGAACATATATCAGTGTCAGTGTAATATTACAAATTCAGTTCATAATATAATGCTTTTAGTGGTGTTTATAAGATCTTACCTGATAAATTTTTATTTTCAGCAAGCAGCTGCAAAGGGATATTTCAAGTACATTGAAGTGCTTAAATATGAAGAACATCTTAAAAAAGCTTTGAAAGCCCTTCAGGCTGGTGAAGACTTAGAAAAAGAATGTGTGGTGTTACGGAAACACAAATACCTAGATGATGAAGGCCCCATTTCTCCTATTCAGGAGACAAAGTAAGTTGATCTTTATATTTTTAGATGTTATAAGACTTTTATTTTTAACTATAATATAAGTGTGTGTGTACAGGTAGGTGCATGACCCCCCACGCTGCCCTCAGCCAGTTTGCTGGTACGGGTAGGGTTTCAACACTTAGTCACAAATCCGAAAAAAGCACGGCACAGGGTGCTGTGAAGAGAGCTGACTGACTCCAGACCAGTACAGCCTGCCACTCTTCACAGTTCAGGAATTCAGGAGGTAGTACAGTTGCTTGTAGTAGCATGTGATTTTTGTGTGATTTTAGGGAGTCCTTTCTATCTTTAGAGAAAATCTGTGGAAGAGAGTGGAATTAAGTTCATAACTGGTGTTTCATGGAGAAACTTCAGTTACAATATTGGGAAGAAAGCTGTGTACCCTTATTAGCTGAGGCTTATCCTCTTATGTTCTTGCTTGTGATTATATTCTACTTCCTTTCCAACTTGCTGGCTTTCTAACCTGTGGCAGTGTAATCCAAATTATCTTAATACTGCTGTTGATATCTGCTACTAAATCTTTGTTCTGCTCCTAAGCACTCCTTCTGTCCAACTAGTGTCACTAGTTAGGATGTCATTCTGCTGTCAAAAACTATCATTTGAGAATGACCTTATGTAGAAGTATCTTTAACCTACAAGCTGTAGGACTTTAGAAGACACTAAGAGAAAACAGGGCTTGTAGTAGGAAAATAGTTTACACATTTTGAGCTACTATAAAAGTACAGAGTTTGATTTGAATTTTTTATATTTCAGTGATGATGAGGACAGCTTGAATTCTGATAATAAAGAGCAATATGATGCCAGAATAGTGGTAAGTAATACTTAACTTCAGATACTCTCTAACCTTTTTCTGCTAAACCTAAGGAATTAGTAGATAATAATGTTTTCAGTACTTAGTTCTTGAGCTTAGATCCGGAGTTAACAGTGTGATACCTGTGAATCTCGATCTGTAATGGAGAAGGAGGTTATTTTGAGAGTCCACACTCTCCTAAATAACATGCTGAAATGTATAGGAATTCTGCAGTTCTCAAGAGTTACTGAAGTTTGTAAATTTACTATTTACTTGTATTTTAAGAATCTCAAAACCCAACTTGTCTTCCATTTTCTTAGGAGAACAGCTCTTTCATTATAAGCAGCACAATTCCCAGTAAGAAAAAATCAAAGCCAGAAACAAAACGTGCAAAATCAACTGAAGTGATTGAAATAGAGGATGACGAAGACAGTGCTGAGGAGAGCTCCTTGCCTGTGCAAGGTTCACCTCTGTGAACAGCAGATGGGACAAATGAGGTGTCAGTGGTTGTTTTTCATGGCCTGCTTCGTTTAAAGCATTGGTCTGAAGGCAGTGTTGAGGTATCCACCGAGCTACCCAGTCACATCTGGTGTAATGTGAGTATATTGGGCTTGTGTCTGATGCAGTTATAAAGCAAGTATAATCTGTTGTTTGTTAAGCTTTTAAGTATGTTCTGTGCTGTTCTCTATCAGAACTATAATATCCTTGGTTCAATGGCTGATAATCTTGCTGAAGTTCTGGCTTCTGCAACTTGACCTCTGTTAACCAGTGGATCATAGAATTTATGTAATTAAACAGGCAAACAAGGTTCAAATACTGTAACATAGCAGCAGCACAGTATAGAATAGTATGCAGTTGCTTGCATACACCTATATGCTCAAGTTAAAAGGGCAGTTTAAATGCCTTTCTTCAGTTTTCGTAGCTGACTTCTTTGTGAGTGGTCTGTGGATTAGAGGTGCAGATTTGAAATACTTAGAGTTGAAAGGCTGAAGACAGAATTGAAGCTTAATGCAAATAAGTACCAACAACAAAAATGCAGAAGTGGTTGGTCAACTTCAACAGAAGTCTATTGCAAAATATGGTTAATGCATTCAAATAATCATAAAATCGATTTTTTATGATTGAGGTTGTCTATTCCATGTGGAGTAACTTTTCAGGAAACTAATTCTCTGCTCCTGAACTAATTAAATAATCTGAATTTGTAAGTTATCTTAAAAGTAACTGTAGCAGTGTAGTGAATCTTGGGTTAAAAATTCTTTTTCCCCTCTTGCCCTCTGCTATCCAGAATGGGTTCTGATGTGAACATGACTTAGCAGAAGATAAAAGCTCTTCATAATGACAGTTCTTAACAGGCATTGCCCCAGCGGAAAATAACTTTCTCTGAGGTGTTTTAGTCAGTAGGAAACCTGACCAGTAAGTGTTTAGAAATGGTCTGAATACAGCCAAGTCCTACTGTGTGTCATGGTAGCTGAAAATATAAAAAAAAAAGTTTAAAAAGTTTCCTTGTCAATAAACAAGATTTAGAGACCAAACAGTTATCTGCCTGCCTCAGATGCTCTTAACCAAATTGCTGTCAGCAACTAACAGCTGTTCAGCGGGTAGAAGTCTGTGCTGAACAAGGATGTTGTCCAGGAAAGGTTTTATCTACTGGTTTAATGGTAGTCTGAGGTGATTGGCAGTAGGTGCTCAGTATTGAGAGCAAGTCAAGCTGCATTATTTACATGCTTGAACTAAGGTACCAAACCTTTGTGAAGGAAGTTTCCCAATCACAACTTGGTGGTTCTAGGACTGAAAAATTACTCTTCAGTATTTGAAGATCACATTTAATAATAGTCCATAATTAATGGCCAGGTGTAACTGCTTTAGGCATCTACCTGAGAAATACTCAAAGGCTTGAAAGACTCAATCCTGGATCTAGGAGTGGGGTTCTTGCTTGGTAAGGCATAGTGAAGAGGGTATGTGGAGTCCTGCTCATTCTGCAGTTCATGTGATGAATTTTGTTGTTCAACTGCTGAGTGACTCAGAAATGAACTAAATTTCAATTCTGATTAGAACTGGATAAGTACACGTGCAAGTCAACTTATTACAACTGTTACATTGATTGCTGAAACCTAGCTTTGACTTGACTTGACTGTATATGACAGTTCTTAATACTTTGCTTTTTCTTCTAGTTTATATTGCTTTTGGAGGATGAAATACCACTCAGTTTTCTTGCTGCACAAGGTAAGCTGTTGGTTTCAGTTTTGTTTCCTTCAGGTAGCTTTTTTTGCTGTACTTCACAAGAGGTTTTGAAAAAACAGTGCTCTGTACTTGAAGCGGATGCATTACAGTGCTTCACAGCTGCGCAGCTTTTGTGTGTGAAGGTTCCAAGGTCTAGAGTTCAGTCCCACATCTCTTTCAACAGTCTGACCATAATTCACCTATAACCTCTTTGAATAAAAACAAAAACTTGAGTTCTTGAATATCTGTTAAGTGCAGTTTTTGTTAGAAGTTTTGTATTGAAATACTTTGTTTTTACCTGATGTTGCGTGCTGCAGGGCAACTTTGTCTGGTTTGGACAATGCTACCTGGGATTTTCTCTGCTGAAGATGTTGAGGAACTACTGTACACTTAGTCTCATCGTGGTGCCTCACGCACACTTTCTGTACCAGGGCGTATCATACAGTTGCAGCTTCTGATGGCTTCCCCGTGGTAAAATTCCATCTTAAATCATGTCCCATGCAAGAACAGGAGGGACAGCAGAGAGGAGCTGGTATTCTTGTATGTACATAGCTGTGAAAGCTTCTTACTGTAGGATGTTATCAAGTTTGTGCGGCTTCAGGACAGCGTATGAAATAGCATGGAAGAAAGCACCATGTAAGGTTACTGCATAGGAAAACACCTGTAACGTGGGAAGCGCTGAGCTAAAGGTGATCCAGTAATGAAACCGTACAAGAACATTCTTCAGGAAGAGGATAAAGAGGATAGGAACAGGGTGTCTTACTTGGCCAGTGATGTAGTTAGGAGTACTGCGCTGTTTAACACAGTATAGGTTGTTCTTAGGATGGCATGTCTGATGCTGAACTCCTTGCCACAGTTACTTTTTGGTTCAACCTACCCGTCTCTAGAATGAGAAAACACAGTAGTAGTGGAAGGCGACAGTTTTTAACAGTAACTACAGTGAATTGGGAAATAGCTTCAAATGCTGTTTCAAAGATAGTAAAAGATGAATGCATTCAGTCTGTTCTAGCACTTGATCAGGTTTTGTCTGTTTCTGTAGACAAAAACCTGGAACCTAGTGCTTAGAAAAAACCCTTCTTTTGCAACCCACAGCTGATGAACATATTAGTTGTGTTACTTATATGAAGGGACAATATTTGCATGAACTCCACTGATCAGTCTCAGGCATGAGTTTAATGTACCAGATTTGTAGAAGTGTAGGTAGCTCAGTTGTATCTCTTTCTTTGCAGATGAGAACACCAATGCTGCACCACTGGGCAGATTTAATTTTTTGGGGAGCATTTGATTTATTATGGGTGTTTGCTGGCCCACTGATTCACAAATCTGTCAGTTCAGTGAATTTCTGTTCAACATGGGAGTGAAAGAGGTAAGCTTTGAATTTCATTTGAGCTTCAGCGTATGAGTATTGGACTTCTTCAGACGTGCTGTTTCCACAGCAAGTTAATCACGCTAATTTGTGCACTGTATGGTATCTGCACCCAGCAGTGTCTTCCTGATGGAGTGTTCAAAAAGCAGTGCTACAGTATTTCAACAGCTGGCATCGTTGGTTTTCATGCAGATGTGCTTGTTAAACTTGGTATTTCTGTTGAAACAAGTAGATTTAGTGTTTCCAAACTGGGAGGCTTGTCAAATACATTCAAAAACTGTTAAACTGTTACGGGATGAATGTATAGTTAAAAAAGTGACGTTTTTCCAAACTGTTTCTTCTTTAAGGGGCATTCCTGTGATGTCTGGAATGAAGTGGAAGGCCTCTACTTAAGCGTAAGTATTAAGGAAATAGTTGGCTTTTTCCTTGGTGGAGGTAGTTGGATGAGGATCATAAAAGCTCAAGTCTTAGGTTTTTGGCTGCCTTCTTCTGAAGAAAAAAAAAAGAGGCATTTTATTTTGAGACATAAATCCAAGTAGCAGGTGACCACTAAACAGGTTTCTTTCGAAGTTATCTGTCTAGGCTTAAGAAACAGTCTGTTCCACAGGCATTGTGGAGTTGTTATGCCTCGTTCTTCAGCAAATAGGCACAACCTGCTGTGTGTCTGAATTGAAAAACGTGGCTAGAAGAGTGACAGGTTATGCTTTCCTCACTGTAAAGTTAATTGCAGTGGTGACAATGAGACCTGTAACAGTTTACTTTGTGGGACAGTTCTGCAAACATACTTAATGCAGCTACTGTAAAATCTAACAATTCACTTGTTTCGATGTGCTTGAATTCTGCATCCTACCTGCTAAAGGAAGTAGAATTAGCAGGTAGAGGAAAAATACTTGCAGTGAAGAATTCTTGTACGTGGTTTATTAGAGTGTATTTTTAACATGTCTTAAAATGGTGTACGTGTTTTCTTTGTGAGGTAACTCCCTTAGTTGTACCTTCTGTGCCACAGTGCTCCAGTTTCTTAAATTGCAGATAGACCTTGTTGGTAGTTGTGTGGTATACTGGACCATGGCTTTGATTTCAATTGAAATGCTTTGTTTTGTCATTAGCATTCAGGCAGTGTAACAGGACCACAGTCTACCTGCTTCATATTGAGTATAAGAGTACTTAAGTCCTAATAAATTACTGAAATACTGAAGAATCTTGGCCATGTTGATCAGATGCAACAATTTACTTTGTTTTAGGAAGTCCACGTGGTAGTCCGGTCTGAACTACCATCTTGGTAAGTGTGTGTGACTGTTTTTTAACACTTGCCTGTTGCAGGTCAGCTGCCTGTCTTTCACTTGGTAAGCTGGTTGTAGTGCTGTTCTTTTCTTACTGAGAAAATGCAGTGTTTTAGAAAATATGAGTTTATCTAACCCCAAACTTGAGAATGGTGTGAGAAAATTGTTGTGATGATTGGCAAAATGTTCAACTGCTCTGAAGAGAGTGAGTGAGAATGGCCTTTCTGAACAAATTACTACATGAATGTCCTTTTCAAGTCACTTTATTTTTACATGAAAATGTCTCAGTGAGAAAAGATCGTGACTGTGACTTTCTTTTAAAAATAAACAGGAAATTAAAAGGAGCTGTGAAATAGCATAATATTCAGACAGTTGCTTCCAAACAGAAACTCTCAGTAATGCTTGTGGTAGTTAGAACCACTTAAGTACTAAGTGCTGTTGTAGGTTCTGCTGATTTGTAGGAACATCATGCTGGTTTGTAACATTACTTTGCTTTTTTAGGAGGCATGTATTTAGAGGAGATAACAGAAGAAATGCAGGATGCCATTTCACAGCAATCTGAAGCTCTGTCTAGGGTTAGTATGACATTTGAAGTTTTGCATATACCTTAATGACTTAAGAACTCTGGTGGCTGGAAGTCCTATCAAACCTAGTTTACTGTTTTGTGAGGGTTTCAGGAACTGGTTTCAACACTGCATTACTGTAGCATTCACTCTCTTAGGGGAACAATTTATTGTAACTTTGATTTGCCTAAAAAGCATTCATACAAATTTCTCATTCAGAAAGGAGGTGATCAGGTTAACTGCTTAAACTGACAGTTTTGCTTGGACAAGCGAGTTGCACTTTACAGTAAATTTATAAGGAGGATTCTGTACATATTTGTAGTTAACTGCCTTTGATGTTTGCTTTTCAGGTAACTCTTAGTGTTAAAACTTGCTAATATGAAGGAGTTACTTCATCTTCTCCAGGTGCCAGCTGTTGAAATCATTTACTCTCCTTCTTCTCCAAAATATCTTGAAACGACTTAAAAAAGACACTTAGCAGGATATATACCAGATACATTTCCAATCTGCTTGATTTTTATCTGTCATGTTAATATGCAGTACAAGGAATGCTGAGGTCTATCCCGATAGGATCTTCTCTGTAGGTTCGTGTCGTTGGAAACGCCTCACAGAATAAACTTGTGGTTTCGCTTTACCCATTGAACTACCTGTTAGCTCTGTGGGATTAAACTGCAAGACATCTTCATGTAGCATCCTAGGAACTGTAATAATGCACCGTGTTCTCCTTTGGGTGTACTGTGACATGCTTTGATAGAAATGAAAAAAATTATTCAAGTGGAAAAGCTTGGTAAGAGTCAAAATACAGAGTGTTCTGGGACTTCAGGTGCAACTAACATACTAAATTACACAGGCTGAACTTATTCTTCACCTAGGTTTTAGTGTAGATACCCGACTTTTAACACTTTTTTGCTGCTTGAGTGTTCTGGATGGCTTGAAACAGTCAATTCCCCCTTCAGTTATAGAGTAATTATTCTTGTGGTGGCTGTAGGCAAGAAGAGACAGCACTGTAGTGTCTGTCTTGAAGTAACTTACTGCATTTGTTTAGTGTCAAGAGATGCTCCACAGTTTCACAGCTGCTGTTCAGGTGAAAGGAGCATTAGGTGAAATTCATGGAGTCTGTTTTCCCTCTCCAGTTGCATGGCAGCTTTTGTGAAATGACAAGTACCTCTTATTCCCAGACACTAACTGGTGCGTGGAAGAAGGCTGAATGTTAAAATGAGCTGTTCATGGATGGAGAACTGCAGCTGTTACTCTGTATGGCACTTCCACCCAGCTGCATTCTCCTGATGAGGTGTGCAAAAAGCTGTGCTACAGCAGTGCAGTGTTTGGCATCACTGGTTTTCGTTCAGCTGTGTCTGTTAAACCTGGTATTTTTTCTGAAACACTCTTTGACCTCTTCTGTGATTTGAGTGTACTTGCTTTCTATTTTCATGTTCCAGTGTGAGAGCTGAGTATTGGCCTCTGAAACTCAGCAAGTGCATTCAGTTTCTTCTTTCTAACAGGTGCTTTAGGATACTGAACACAGTGAACCTCCCTGTATTAAAAAGATGAGCTGTGGAAGATAAAAGCAACCTGTTTTATAGGTAAGCAGTGAGTTAATACTCTCACACTACACAGTTTGTGTGCTAAATTAGTATGAATCTAGGACATTTAAACTTAAGTAAACTGTTTTAGAAAAAAGTATAAAAACGGTTGTCTAGTAGCAGAGATTACTGGATGGTGATCACTCCAGATTTTGGCAGTATCTGAGCAGGTCACTTGTCTGTGAGTCATTATTGTGTGTGTATATAATGGCTGTCACAGTTGTGCAGTGGTTTGTAGTACTAGTGTCTTAGACTGATGTTGGTTGTGAGGAATCATGTACATCTCCTCTGTACTTTAAGATTTTAAAAGATTTTAGGCTTGTTGGTACACAACTTGGCTTTAATGTTGGCAGGATCAATTGGTCCATCCCTGGAAAGGATGGGCAGAGTGAAGTCCTGTTACAGGCAATGAGAGGAGTGTCTGGTCATTACCAAGGCTGCTGGGATGTTACTGTTTCTGGTGAGCTGTGGACATGACCGTAAAGCAAGTCCATCAGTCTCTTGTATTGCCATAGGATGTGGCACCAAGGCTGCTGGGAATAAAGCTTCAATGTAGGTCACAATGTTCCCTCTGCTGTTAGGAGGAAGTTGCTGCTGAGGTGTGGGTATGTTGTTGGTATCCTTGGGTGCCTCCGAAGTTCTAGCTGGAACTTTTGTAGATTGGACTCCAGAGCTGCTCTTGAGAAGGTAGTGCTTTTGAACAGAAGCAAAAAAGGGAGACTAAGGCTGCTCCATGCAATTTATATCCAACTTGTGTGTTGTTAACTCTTCCCTTACACTAACCAAACCTGACTCTTTAACTTCCAGTGTCTGCTACCAAGTTGCTGCATGTCAGAGGGATGAGAAACTCCACCTGACTGCTACCAAAGTGAGTGTGAAGGTAAGAGCACTTACCAAAATGGTTGGTACTATAAAGAGATTCAAGGTCACTTCAAAGAGGGTTTGCATGGCTGAAAAACCAGCAGCTCTTAACGCGGTGACCGCAAATTGAAATCCTCTGCAGGATGCCGTGGACACGTAGTGTGTGCTATGGTCTATTTATGAGGAGATACACCTTATGTCCTTAAGCCTTTTGAGGTGAAAAAGGATGTTAATCTTCTGCCCTTAGGTTTTTGTGATGCTGATGTAGAGGAAAGGCTGCTCAGTTTCAATTCTGAAACCAGCTGATATTTGTAGCATGGAAAGTTAAAGCTGCAGAACAAAAGGTTGTGGTATGAGCAGTCTTGTAGCCCAGCTGCTGCTTGTGTGTCAAGAGGAGGGCAACTGAGCTGGTGAAGGGTCTAGAGTTCATTTTGGAGCAGCTGAGGGAGCTGGAGAAGAAGTGGTTCAGGGAGGGCCTTGTTGGTCTTACCTGTAGTGTGGTGGGGGTCAGTCTGCCATTTAAGAAGCTGTGGGATGAGAAGAAATGGCCTTAAGTTGTGCTGGGGACATTTAGATTGGATAGTGGGAAAATGGCTTTTTTTTGGAGTAAAAGTGCTAATAGACTTTTTTTTTCCTCTCTCAGGCTCTGGTGATACTGCTGAAAGTCTGCTGCAGTGAGCTACACAGCTGTTCCAAATGGAGAAAGATCTTACCTAAAGTGTTAATTGCAGTTAATTGCATTAAAAGTAGTGCATATTGTGACTTGCCTCTTGCCCTCCTGTGAGATATGAAGGTGCCTTTGTGTGATGTTAGAAAAGACCCAGCTGAGTATATTGTGTTGTAATTTGACTGAAAATAACTAGATCGGGTGTTTTCCCTAACTTCCCTGTCACTGAATTCTCACTGTACTGAAGCCCTGGATAGGTATTTATTCTGTACAGAATGTTACAGCATTTAAATAAAACTGTCTCTGAGCTGCAGCCTGGGATTATTTCCTATTGCTACACTGTGGCTTTCAAAGAAGGGTGAGAAAATCCTCACAGCTGATCTCCTGAGCCTTGGTCTCTTCCCTTCTGATCATATTCTCAGAAAGGAGCTAGAATATTGCAGAACTGCCCTGGTGAAGCTGAGACCATATACCTGCTCGTTATTTGCCCTGCAAACAGCCTCCACTTACCTCCGTGGCGTAACAAACTGATTCTGGCTTAGGCTTTTTACTTATGCAGGAGGTAACAATTGTTTAGCTACTCCAGTACATGCAGCCGCACCAGACTCAAAAAAATCAGTGAAAGGACCTGTACAGTGTAATTAATTGTACATCTAAACGAAGCTAAGCTCCCTGGTGGAACAGGTCCAGAGGAGTCCATGAAAGTCACTGGATGGGAGCATCTCTCCTGTTAAAACAGGCTGAGAGAATTGGGGTTCAGCCTGGAGAACAGAAGTCTCCAGGGAGACCTTTATAGCACCTTCATCATTGCCAGGGGCTTGGACTAGATGACCTTTAAAGGTGCCAACCCCACCTATTCTGTGATTTACTGGTATGTTTTAACCCTGATCAGATTTAACAAAACATCTCTGCTATTGCACCTGCTGCTAACCAAGTTCAAATTTTAAAGCACAATTTTTGCTATAATTTGCCCTGGTGCTTTAACTACTTAGCTATGAATTGGAGTTCATCAAACATGGGCAGAAAAATATGGAAGTAGCAACAGTAAGATTTTTATTCTCTTCAGGTGCTTGAAAGACGTACTGCATGTGTACAGGAACCCACACTTCTTAAATCATAGTGCAAAGAACTTATAAAAACTGCAGCTTTACAGAAATGTCTTGCCTCAAAATGATTCAAGTCATCTTTAAAATGCAACTTTATTTGAAAATGTTTTATACATGTATATTACAAAAGTTAGTATCTCCCTTTAAAACATAAATGCATATCTAGAAAGGCCTTTCATTCCTGTGTACTGAGACAAACCATGTTGAAAGCAGCAGGCCATCTGCTTCTGTAGTGATTTCCCCAAACAGGAGGGTAGTACAGGGGGTTTGGGTTAATCACTGTTTTCCTACAGCTTAAAGCTGAGGATTCCTAATGGCTTTGCAATTAAACATTGTCTGGGTTGTACCAATACCATAGCAAGGCTTTTGCTCAAAGTCTGCTGCCTGTCACAGTGCTTTCCAAGACTTCTTGGCTCGTAGTTTTTCCAGCATTTTCTGCAAATAAAACAAACCATGAGACTAGTGCAGCTTAAGTGACTACACTAAAAACCAGCATAGCTAGAGGGGCACAACTGAGGTACTGCCCCATCTGTTTGAACTGAACATCAGATAGTGATGAGTTCAGTGACTGTCCAGGCTTCAAAAAGGCCACAGATTGCAGGGTGGGAGAGGTGTGCTTATTTATTTTAATTATGGAATCTGTAAAGCAATGCAACGAGAGCACCAATTTATTCCACCAAAAAGTGCTAAAGGCAGGATTTGGGCCTGGAGCCCCCTGGAGTAGTCACAGCCTCAGGATCATCAAGCATTTCCTTCCTTCCAGTTGTCCAAGGCCCAGCAAGAGAACAGGGAATTAATGACTCCAGTCCTCTAGTTCAAGCCCTCTTCTACAGCAACTGGAGGAAAACCCAGACAAGATTCTTGCAACCTGAACTTCAGGCATGCTCAGAATGTTACCCCTAACCTCAAGCAGCCAAAGCAGCCCCAAACCCACCAAACCTAATTCAGTCTAGTTTGAACTACTGAAAACCCTGCCATTCTTTCACCATGTAGATTTTCTAACAGCTGGAGCCTTTTTGCTCAAGCTCAAATCACCAGAAAAATTCAGCCTGAGGCAGCCATGCATTTTAGATGAAGTTTCAGCTCAGTCATAGTGTTGACAAGGAAATTCTTATGTGGATGTACCAATGCCCTCACTTAAAATCCAGACTGGTTGGATGGTCTCCATTTCAACTGCACTCAAACTACGCTTCAGTGACTGATGAGAAGCTCAATGAAGTCATGAGACTCACCACCCAGGAGGACAGTGTAACAAACTATTACCTTTTGAAACTCTTTAGCTTTTTCTCTGTTTTTAGCATAAGTTTCTTGCCTTTTTTTTTCTTCCTTTCTGATTTTTACTTCTTCAAGTTGATTATAAAGTCTGTGGGAACAGTAGGAAGAAAATTGAGTCCTGGCAGAAAGGAAGTGGCAAAGCTAGAGTAAGTTAACAAGCTTAAGGGTTTACACTGGCTCACTTGCTAGCAATTAGGAAAATTTGACACATCTCTCCAATAATCTAGAATCACTTCAAATTCTTCAGCTGTATCAAACAAACACCCTTCATGTTCAGGAGCTGCACGTGGTTCATGTTACTGCTCATAAGTGCCCAAGTGCAACGATGAACTTTGCTTCAAATTTTATCTAGTGTCAGGCATTAAGTGGCACAGCAGCCTCAGCCTGGTGAAACCAGCAGGCTGACCTTGTGTTCCTCACTGCCACCCATGCAAGGGCCTTTCCCAGCAGGTACCTGGATCAAACACTCGGCTCCTCTCTCCCAACTGTTCTGTGTTAAGCAGCACTGGGTTCAACTGGAAGATCACAAACTGTTTTGTCTGACCAAGAGCTTTCATAAGACACAGATTAACTACTCCTGTTGGTTTTAATTCAAACTTCTCCCACTTGTGTTCATGCATTACCTGGATGTACGCTGGTGCATTTCAATTTCTCCAGCCTTCCTGTCCTCTGGAGAAGATACTCTCACTTCTCCTACTTTTTTCAACTGACTGGCAACTGCACCATTTTTTCCTAGGGAGAAAAAAAATAAAAAGCCAAACATATCTTAAATTTGACTCTCTAGTTTAGCTAACTCAAAAGCATAACAGGTTTTCAAAGATTTTTAAATGACATGACAAAAAAAAAGAAACAAGCTAGCACAGTGGACACAATGGAGATGATGTCTTGTGTTAAAATAAATCCTCACAGTCTCACTCTTTAGGCTGCTGCCTGTGCTTTAAGCCAGCCATGGCTCTCAACAGCCGACCTCCAAGTCCCCAGTAACAGGCATTAGAGATGCACCAGTTCAAGTAATGTGGTTGTTCTCTGATAAACAGCCATTGCTTGCAAAGATACCTATAACAACAAACGTGGGCTGATTGTGAAAGAGCACCCATAAAAGCCTTTACAACACTGAAGACGCAGCAGGGCAGTGGAGGGGAGGAAGCTCCCTGCATCCCCAAGAAAACAAAGAATATCCCAGTTTGCAATAGCAAACACATAACAAATATAAACTCTGTTCTTTGATATACAACAGCAATTAAAAGGTACATAATGGTGTGTCTTGTCCCCAGGTAAACCTACCAGAGAGAAGACAAAACTCCTTTTGTCTGCTTCTTAACTCCTTAGACTTTCCTCCTCGAAGCTTTCTGGCTTCCAGCTTTTCATTTTCTCTCTCTCTATTTTTTATTTCTTCTACTCTTTTCAGAGATTCCTGGATGAAGTTCTGCTTTCTTTCTAAAAAGGATTTTTGCAAACTTCCAGATGTAGCTGCAAACTCCAGCAGCATCACTGTGAAGGAAAGTCTCAACATTTCTCACTGTTAACAACGAGCAGTCAGTCATGCATTTCAATGTACTTCTCCTAATATACTGAAGTTGACCACTTTTGTAAATGGCACTAGGAGAATGGCATTGTGAGTGACAAGGCATCTTGCAAAACAGGCAGCAATTCAGACCTATGAAATCCAGTCATGGTCAGCAGGTCTGCTGAGACAAATACTGCATCAAAAGCATCTTGATGCCTCAAAACATATCAAAGACCTAATAAGTCCCTAACACAGTTAAGTTCTGTCAACTCCTGTCTTTTATGTTACTGTGGTTCATTTTAGACAAAAAATATTTCAGTATTTTACTGCTGTTCCACACTATTATCAGAATAGGGAAAAAACAACAAAAAACCCCATTCTTTGGCTACAGGGCTTGGGAGACTAACAGGAAATGAGAAATAAGTGAATGTGCAACTATGAAAACAAATCACAAAACAACACAGAATTTTTCTAAGTTAAGCTGTTACAATACAAAAACAAGTGTAGTGTAGAACTTTCATAACTTGGGAGAGGATGAGACAAGCAATACGACACACGCTAAACCTGGGTCAAACGCACAACAAATCAAGCCTGAGCAGCAAGATGCACTCGCCTAAGTAAAAGCAGCTCTAAAAAAATTTTCCAAATGAGAGGTGTATTTTACTGATTATTATAATAATAAAAAAAAATTACTATGTCTATCTCAGCTTCAGTATACTTAAGTTACACATAATTACCTGCAGTCCGATGTGACGGACAGTGACTGTTGTTGGGACTCTGGGCTTTGGGAGAGTTGTCAGGCCTTGTGAACGCCGAACAATCTGCACCTGGAGCTAGTGGTAAAAGTTCTCTCTCCTGTTTCAAAAGGAATCAGTGGCTGGAAATGTTTAAAATACACCACTAATTTGAGTGGAGTGGTACTACTGTACCACTAGCTTAGACCCAATGCAAATAAAATACATTCTTTTGCCCTTATAGCAGATGCAAAGAAAAATCAGAAATGGATCTTTGTAATAATTATGAAAAATCTACTTTCTAAAAACATTTTAAAACTTAAAAAAACCCCAATCCATTGAAGACTTTTTTGCCCACCAGACTCAATTGCTTGTTCTTAATACAGGGCAGCATAATTCCATCTGCTTTCATTTCCTACTGTTCTCTCTAGTTCTCCCCCATTACTCTCATCCCATTTGACTCTTCCTCTCTTTCTCAGTGGCAGGTGACACCCACTGCAGCAGTACAGCCTCCAGCTGTCAACCTTCACTTCTCCCTTGTATCAATTACTTTATAAAGACCCATCCTTGGACACTTTTAGGATCTTCTGTAGATGCCTCCTGCAATTAAAGCATGATTTCATCTAAACTGTTCATCTAACTGACACAGATTACTTGGTTCTACATTATTGCTTCAGCACCCAAATTATTG